GCATAATAAAAAGTAACGGACTGCTGAGGGACATCAGTTAACTTGGGTTAACTGTACTGTGATGTGAGTATGAAAAGAGGGGTCAAGGTGAAATTCATTTTCTTTGTGTTTCATGGTAATCTGTTTGTGCTTGTCATTTTAGAGTGCACTAAACATGGTTAGTCGCTGCATGGCTGTAGACCTAGAGCCAGATGGGATTCTCTGTATGGCTATACACCCCGGCTGGGTACGCACTGACATGGGGGGGTCAGAGGTAAGAGCCTACTCTGAATGACTTTAAGGTACGCATAATCGATGAGGAAGAAAGAGAGAATGCATTGGACTTATGAACGGGCTGTACCACTGTGACATATACCGTAAATGGTGTGTGTGTGTGTAAAAACATGTCATGGATTGGAGTATAGTAGTTAAAAGGACTCAAATATAAGCTGCTGCTTGTAACTATATCAAGTCCAGATCCAAAATAACAAAAGCCTGTTGGTTTAACAAAAAAAAAACCCAAAAGAGTCTAAAATACAAAAAGCACAAAAATAAAAGCAACAGTTGCCAGGGTATCCCGGGGCAGATCCAGGACACGCTGGAGAGATTATATACCTGCAGGACACCTGGCCTGGGAACGCCATGGTGTTCCCCCAGACAAGCTGGAGGAGGTGGCTGGGGAGAGGGAGGTCTGGGCTTTTCTGCTTGGGCTGCTGCTCCTGCGACCCGGCCCTGGATAAGCGGAAGAAGATGGATGGATGGATGGATGGTTAAAACACATTATGATGCAACAAAGAACACAGGCAAACTGGGGCTAAAAATAAACATGAAGTAATGAGGAGAGCAGAAATGTAAGAGAAGCTAAACACAGCTGAGCACAGTCAAGGTAAATGAGGAGGTTAAACTAGAAACAATACACAAAGAGTGTGATTAGCGAAGTAAAATAGAAAATTAAAAAGTGAACTTAACTCAGGACAATAAGATGAAGGGAGACACTGAGGAATCAAATAAACTCTAATACAAATAGAAACTCAAACTGTGAACTAAAGACTGAAAATGCTAAGTAAAAGACGTGAAACCTGAAAATGTAGATGGTTGTAAAAGAGACCCAAAGAGAGACCTAACCTTATAATAAACAAGAATGAATTTGAATAACACTCCAAAACACGCAAATACCCCGAGAACAGACCTGGGATCATGACAGAAGCGTGTGTTTCATTTGCTTTTCTGTTCTCTCCATCTCCTTCCAGGCTCCACTGAGTCCCGAGGACAGTATTTCTTTCATGTTGTCTGTGATTGGAGGGCTAACTGAAAAGGACCATGGCTCATTTCTGAACTTTACAGGAGAGCAGATACCTTGGTGAACTTGATGTCCATCAGTTATGAGAAGGATGACTGAGAATTCTTAACTCATCCTAATGGTTATTGCTTTTACTCTAACAATGCAAGAATGAATGTATCTACGGCTTTGATTGTGCTGCATTCCACTTTATAGGAGCGT